TAATCGTTCGTGCGAAAGTGATTAATGAATTCGAAATGAATTTCATTTGGACGTATTATTTATCCCATTGGATCATTTAAGTGCATAAAAGCTCATTATCATCTTGAGTTAACGTGAGAGAGTTTTGATAGCCAAATTAAGGATTTCAAGCCTTACAAAAAGTTAATGTAAAATTTTATATATATATATATATATATATATATATATATATATATATATAAAGTCAGTTATTTAATCCTAGTACAAGCTTTTGCAATGTTTGTAGACCAATCGTTATTCTTATTTAATTTAATGCACACAACAGACAAATTATTTTAAACTATCATTCGTCTATGATATAGACCCAAATTTCGTTATAAGCAACATACAAGTTGAGTTCTGAGTTCAAGCAAATACTATTTTGAGGAACAATGGTAGCTTCTGCGCAATAAAAAGAACTTGAAATCAAACTGCTCATGGGGCGTAATATGGAAGTTTGGTGAGTTATGCATTAAGTCAGTGGCTCTTCAACTGTGGTCCGTGGACCCTGGGGGTCAGCAGCGCCTTTCTAAAGGGTCCGCGAAGGTCTCTCATTTAATGTTAAGATTTTTCTTTTGTACGGACTCTGAAAAGCCTCTTGGAAAAATTGAAAGACTTCTATCTTAAACTAGATCCCAAAATTTCCCCCCAATAAAAAAAATTCTACTAGAACATATATTTCGATCACGAATATTAAATCATGTTTTTTCCCTCTATTTTTTGTAACTACGTAACCATTACTACAGCGCAATATTTTCAAAAAATTGTTGAAACATTTGTGCAAAAATAATGAATTGGATTCATTGAGTGCCAATACGGTAACGATTCCATTTAAATCACTCAACCACGGGTTTGAAGAGGGGAGAGATTTTAAGATCTTGGGGGTCTGCGACGTCTAGTTGATACATAAAGAGGGTCCACGGCTATCGAAAATTTAAGAACCGCGGCTCTAGTTCAAGTATTATCATCGTCACACAACTATTTTTTCAAAATTACGTAGGTTCGAGTCCTACTTAGATGCTCGTCAGAAGCGGAGAAGTCTTGTTTATATCGTAGCGTAGAATTTTGGAGAATGGATTGTCCCATCACGTTTCGTCCTCGTCATTTGATCGTGATTCAAAATTATGAGTTCCGACGGCAATAGCCTTGATATTGCTTCATAGAGCGTTGTTACTAAAAATTAGTTAAGCAAATGATCGAAATTTCAGGATTCATTCCATCATTGTCTGTAGGTTTTGTGATTCAAAATTAAGCAATAAATTTTCTAAAGGTACTGGTGCTTTTAAAAAAGAGAGGACTGATATCGATAACGTTTAATTTTATCGAATAAATGATTTAATTCCAAAGGTTAACTCAACCAATCATCGGTATATGCAATTATTTATAAGTACAGAGAGCCAAAGCAACGAAATCCTCATAATTTTTAAAGGCCGCCTTTTTGTCGACCATATCGGGGGGGTTTCAGCGTAAGAGGGTGGGGATTCTCGAAGTGAAGAGACATTTTAGAATTTTAATATGACTTTTATTAAGATTTTAAACAAATTATTGGGGATATCGAACAAACTTATATTAAGTAGAATAAACCAAAACAGGGGCCGTAGTTAACACAGATCGCTCAATTGGGACCTTATCTATATAATTATTTATAACCCCTACCCAACCCTTAATACGAATTAGGAAAATAATCTTCTTACCTGTGGAATTTCCCAAACAACGATTCAATCAACTTCGATATTCCCTTAACCAGGGCAATGGTAAAACCTTTGTATTGGCTAGATATATTTTTATTCTTTGGGGAAGCCGTTAATTTAATTCTACCTTTCTACATAATTTCTTTTTTAAATTGCCATCGCGCTTTCTAAAACTTCTGTCCTTTTAAAAAGGGTTTTCTTATTTGCACCTTCCTTCGTTTATTTTTATTTGGGTTGGAAAAGATTTTTCCAAAAAATCGTGGGGCCCTAAAGAACCAGAGGGTTTTAAGTTTAAAAAAGGACCCTGAGCCGTTACACGTTGAAAAATAAGAAAAGCGATTTATATCACATTTGGCTGTAATTCCGATCTATGTGCAGATTTGTAGCCCATAGTCTATTATAGAACTACACAGAGAAATGATAGTGAAATTAAATTTATATTTTTTTATAAAATAATCAAAAACAGGATATTCATTAAATTAAATTTTTATTTTTAGGTAGTTGTCGAAATCATGAATAATATAAAATTATTAAAATGTAATAAGATTAAAATTAAAAAATTACTTCCAAATAACGGGATTCTTTATTAGTAATTCGAAATAAATGTTACATTTAATTTTTTTTTTATCATTTTAGTTCTAATATTTTCTGCTCTCATTGGATAATTATTTAATCATGTGTTACTAAACTTACTAAACAATTTTCCTCACTCCAGAATACCTAGTATGTTAGATAAAGCAACGAGAGAAAAACAAGCTAACCGTACTACTATGGTAAATGGTACTAATGATAAACGAGTTTTAAACTTCACACCTTCATGTGAAAACAAAGCGCTTTACTGTAATATTTCTAAACTTTAAACATACAATGTAATAAATAGATGTATGTGTTACGATGCTGTTAACCTACACAAATATTTGGACATTTTTTCCGTCCGAAAATATGTACGAGGTTGCATGGGTGAGTGGGATCATTTAGTTACTATTCAGTGTAATCATTACTTTAAAATGTTTATAAAATGCTTTGTTTTGTAAGAACATATAAAGAGGTATCAAATTCTAGCACATTAAATGCGGTTGAAAACAACACGCAACATCACACATTTCATGCACTTTATTACTGATCATGAACAACTCAAAATAAGAAAAATACAACTTTAAAATGTTTGAAATATCGTAGACAACTTTGTAATTCTACACCAGTGCTTTCAAAGTTTCAATATTCGCCATCCAGTATTCAATCGTAATTTTCGTCACGCCCCCCTCATACAATGATAATGTATTGAAATAATACTATACTTTGATGCTAAAACAACGATACGACTTTAACCTCTTAAGTGCCCCTGGTGCATATAAATCTCGGCTAAGCCAAAGCATTTATTTCTCCGGACGTATATATACGTCTTTCCGAAGTACAATCTGTTCTGTGAACAGCTGTCCATAAAATTATTCGGAAGGCTTTGGAATACAATACAAAGGACCTTGACAATGTTTGCAAAGGATTTACTTATTTCAGATTACTTTGGCTTCCTCCTTATCCCCCTCAGTACATCATATATGCGCTCCTACTTAGAAAACGGTTGGCATTGGGAAGCGAATCGCGTAATTTTAATCGGCAGTTAAGGGAATAATTATAAACCGTATAAAAAATTATCAAGTGTTAATTTTTTTGTTTTTAATTATATATATATATATATATATATATATGACAACCCCTATTAGGTCACTGATAATTAATAAACTTGTTCTTAATTTAGTATTGTGTTAAATTAAGTATAAAATACATTGTGTAGCACTGATACATTTATAAATATAATATATCAGCTTAAATTTGTATTTTATTTTTTATTATGCCAGAATGTATTTTGCTTGTTTACTTTCAGTACATTAGTAATTTTTTTAAATAATCTTTTGTTTTCGACTTTTCAATAGGCTCGCGCCCCCCTCGTAGAGTTGTCACGCCCCTCAAGGGAGGCACATCCCACAGTTTGAGAAACGCTGTTCTACTCATATAGGTTTGAGTATATCAAGAAAATTTAAGCACATCTTTAGCGAAAACGAGTAATAAACAAGTTTAATTTGTTTTCTCATTTCTTAAGAAAATGTAAAAACTCTACATAATCAATTTTAAAAACAAAATTTTTCTGTGGATTATTAGATTTTATGACTTCAAAGGTAATAAAGATAAAAATAAAAGCATTTCAAATGGAAATTTTAGTCCAAGCCCACATTCTGTTTTCTCGAAGAACTTTAAGGCCACCTTCTCTTCAGCGATCGATCTTAACCGGTCTTTAACTTAATGGATTGAAACATAAAAGGAAACTAAAGAAGAAATAATTTATCAAACCGCATTATTTCAGTGTTTCTCAAACTTTCTATACTTGTGACCCAATTTTCAATCACAATTTTCATCGCGCCCCCCTCCACACAATAACATGTATTGAATTCAATAATAATATCCTTCGACGAAAACGACAATACAACTTTAATTATAAAACGTATATATTATCAAGATAAGTATTAAATATTGTATATAATTTTATGACATTCCCATAGGTACACTGGTAATTATTAAACTTGTTCTTAACTTAGCACTGTTAAATTAATTATGAAATAAATTGTGCAGTACTGATACATTTATAAGTGTATTATATCAGTGTAAATCTGTATTTTATGATGTCAGAAAGTATTTTGTTTTGCTTCCTTTCAGTAAATTATTAATATTTTTAAAAAAAAATAATCTTTTGTTTTCGACTTTTCGATATATTCGCGCCCCCCTTGTAGGGTTATCACGCCCCCCTAGGGAGGCGCGCCCCACAGTTTGAGAAACACTGCATTATTTAGTTTGCTTGGACAAATGCACTATGTGGGCAATCCTGCTAAGTGCTCGACCTCTAATGATTCGAAAGAAAGACACGTTTCACGAAGCTCCACTCAAAAGAAAAGGGAAGAGAAAGACGGCAAGTATTTTTAAATTTGCCGTTTTTATATCTCTCTGGGTCATTCTCTTGAAGTGTTGGGAATAAAAGATTTCATGTGAAGACATAGTTAAACAAAACAAGTAATATAAAAAGAATTAGTCGATTCCTACTTAGATCAACAATGAAAAATTTGTGTTTTAGTTATTTTTTATTAAATAATTACAATTAATATGTATATACATATGACAGAATCACAATCCTAAATGGCAAGATAAAGAGCAATTTTCCTTTCTGTATATGATGTTAAACCTTTATTTTTGTTTGTTTGCTACTATTTATTCATTCATAAATCATATTCGCAGAAATTAGGCCATCCCAGGTAGGATTCGAACCTAAGACCTTTGGATTAGAAGACCAACACGCTATCCATTGCATTACAGGGACACAGGGAGCGTTTTTCCTTTTTATATATGGTGATGGACTATTATTTTGCTACTATTACTTTGCTACTATGTATTCCTTAATTTTAACTAATGAATTAATATTTGAAAAAACTGTATTAACATCTAATGTCATCCACTACAAGTTTACAAAAATGTATTTGAACTTGAATAGATGAATAGTATTTTATTAACGATTAAAAATTTGAACGAGATCCATATATATAGGGAGATTATGAACTATAATACAGTCGACTCTCGATAATTTGAAACTGGAAGGACCAATGAAAAACTTTGAATTATTAAGAGTTCGAACTATCAAAAGGGTAGGAAAAAACTCCCAAAATACACGAAGAGAATTTTTTTTTTAACACATTTAAATTTGAAACTATACTATGTAATTAAACAACATTTGTGCATATGTATGAAATTATTTTAAAATATTTTTAAAAAGTACTATTTTATACAGTATAAATATAATATTACACAGAAGTTAAAACTCCTGTATAGAAAATAAAATTGTTTTTTGCTCCCGGTTCCCTCAGACACTGTCCTTAACACCATTGGCTCTTCAAGGCAAGGTTCAGTGCGGCTCATGCCCTGTTTGTTGCCACATGTTATAAGTTACACAGATAAGCCATAAGACACCGTGTCAGTCGGACACAAAATACACAATAACGGACCATTATTTCTGAACCCATATGTATCAAGGCCACGTGTTAAGCGAAAGATATGGATGGATCATAACAGGTGCGGTCGGTCTATTGTCCACTTGAAAAGGAAAGAAATAAAAGTGTCTTTTCGCCTAAGGAATCGAGAAACACTAAAGGCCGTATCACACGTATATTTTTCATGCAATTGTTTCGTCCAATTTTTGGCCGAATCTGAGGGGGAAGGGTTGCCGTAAACAAAACGACACGCTCTGACGTCACCCGCGCTTTATCTCTACATTGAAAAATTACTCGCCGATTTTTCTGCTTCGGAAAATGAACATCCAAAATTATTTCTTTCATTTCGCTTGCGCAATTGTTGATGGGTGTAAACTAAAAATAGAGCACCATTCTATTTAAAATATTATACGCCGTTATATAAAATATTATACACCATTAAAATATTATACGGCATATCTGAAGTGTTAGACGAAACCGGAGCTGCCATCTTGTTTATGACGTAGGGTGCCGAAGAACCCCATTGGCTGCAATTTCAAGCAATTTTATTTGGAACAATTTTTTGAGCTCGCTAGCAAAAAATTGTTCTAAAGCCGTTGCTATGGCAACTGAGTAAAAATTGCACGAATTGAACGAAAAATTGCTTGAAACGTGTACGTGTGATACGGCCTTAAGAAGGGGTATTTGACAGAGGGTCATCAAAAAGGTTACGTTACAGGGGAGACACGCAGAGACAATACAACACAAAATTGCAAACTCCAACCAGTTTGCTACAGAACTGTACATGATAGTGAGTGTTCAAATTTTCGAGAGTTTTATAAGATAACTTCAAATGATAACATGTTGTAATCTGGCTTTTCACAGATGTTACTTTGAAATATTGGGTATACCGAAACGTATTGTTTTAGTTCGAAATATCAAGAGTTTTTCTAGCGACTGAGCATATGCTTCGAATGAGCGAGAGGTTCGTATTATCGAAGGTTTGAATTAATGAGAATCGACTGTAGTAGGAATTGAAAAAGAACATTCACTTTACGTTTTCCAAATACCTATTTTAGCAACCAAGGGGTTATGTTATCAGATATTTTATCATATTGTTATATCATGGTTTTCGGCTATTACTCATATGTATAACCATGCCAGAAGTTCTCATACATCCATAAAGGAGCTAAAATGAAAAGCAACAACTTTGTAATAAAATTTAAAACAAAAGCTTTTAAGTTTTAATTTGAGTTCAATATTTTTCGCCTTTTATTCAAATTAATCACCTTTTGACTTTACACTGGCTTTCAGTCTCCGTAAGAAATTACGTAAGCCTTCAAGAACGTTCAAGACCCGGGGTGGGCATTAAGTTGATCGCGATCTACCGGTAGACCGTTAAGACATTTTGGGGTGACCACATTTACTAAGAGGTAATACGCGCATTCTAAAAGAACATCAATGGAACAACGACACCAGCTAGATTGGAGAAATGGATTTTCACAATTGATGTGACTGACTTACCTGTTGGAATCTACGTTTTCAACGATGAATGTTATCGTCAGCATATTGTTCCAGTTTTGCAGACGACCACTTAGAATCCAGTGCAAGATTAGCAGTTAGAAATTATATAACGAGAAATTCAAGATTTGCGGACAGTATGCAGACTATGTCTTCTTCTGACTATGATTACGAGTGTGAGTGAGTGAATTTTTCTTATACCGCACTATTCAGATACACTAGGGCTTTTGTAATTTTGAACTATGTTCAAGTGATGAGGATGACACCTGAGCTTGCATCCTTCCTCATCTAACTTCTCACCGCATCAACTGGAAGACATTAGAGCCATGGTATATTTAAAGGACATCTTCCTTTCTGCATAGGCGGGTCTTCAGCTGTATTAGGCTCGAACTCATGACACACCAGCCACGAGTCTGATCCCTTGACCACTAGGCTACCACGGCCACCTATAACTACGAGAACTAACTTTAAATGAAAATGGTTTATTTTTTACGGATTAATTTATAAATGTATCATGTGATATTATTTTATTTATAGCTATTATTATTATATCCGTATCTTGCATTTTGCTTTAAACATGGTTTAAAGCGTAGGTTTTTTTTATTGTAATAATGTAGGTCAGTATATATTCTGTATTTAATATTGCTGACATTTTTTTTAGCTCACCACATCTACGCCACTAGGTGGATCGCAGCATTTTGTAAAAATTAGAAGTAAACCGCGCGTACCATGTAAAAGTCTGCCCACCCCTGTTCAAATTGGAATGTCGTTTTTGGCACACCTTCACCTCCAATTCTGACTACAATTTAAAGTCGAACGGATTTCAATTCGAATTGCTGGAAGACCTATCTTTCTAATTTATCAAGTCCGGTATATTCTCTTTCAACCACTACGGGTTGTTTTCGTCTAATGAGCAAAATCAAAGTCCTATTGAAATGTTCAATATTTTCCAAAAGTCCAATGAACTGTTTTACGTTCAGGAGCTTCACCATTGGTTATCAGATTGTGTCTTGGTAAACTCTTGCACCCCCCCCCATGGGTTTCACTCTTTTTGCAAAAGTAGACCCTCTCCTGGTTAACAACTTAAGAAATCCTTATAGAAGTCAGCTGATGAACTCTTGGTGAGCGTTTTTTCTTATAATTAGCTTCTTGAACATTCCTAGGGTATAAAAAGTCATTTTGACGGTTGAAAAATAATTTAACTCAAAAGTTTTCTCGTAAGTAAGCAGAATTCGACCGTGGCTGTTGTAAAAGCGTCGCCGTAACAGCGCTTTTGTTTGAAGATACCTCTAGCGCTTTAATTATTTTGTAAGAAAATGAAGTGTTCTTTTTCGCTGACCATTTGGTCTTAGGTCTTCGATTAGTGTGTAACGTATCATTCTTTTTGACCCTTTCATCTGTTAGACAAGAAGGCTCTTCTTTTGACACGGATTTCGATGAATTGTCTCCCTGACTTCTTTCTGAAAGTTGGCGTTCTCACCAAGCGCGGAAGACCAATGTTGTTGGTCTGAGAAAATCTCTTACTCGATAAATGAGTAACCTTTGAATGTCCTTATAAATTACCGACGAAATCTCCCCCCCCCCTTTTTTTTTTGTACACCGAAATGCCTCTTGCTTATTTTTGTTCAAAGTGTTAACTCTTTGATTGATTTAGAGCAACATGCGTGAAGGAACATTTTTTTTGGAAAATACTACAAATGATCTCAAATGACAAAATTTAAAATCATCTATTGCTTTTGAGACACAACAGACGATCTCAAAGTTTTGTATTGGAACTTATGGCACAACTAGATACACATATACATACACACAGTCACTCGTACATACACACATACATGGATAGAAATATTGAATTGATTGATTAAACATTGACTTTAACATGAAGACATAAATGTTTATAGTAGCGTTATCATATTCTGTATTACTCTAATTCGAAAAGTGGTCATGTGACATCTTTCTGCAGTGACTAAAATAATAGTTTCTCTTATTATTACAAAAATAATTGCAGAATATTTTGTGTTAAGAAGCAGGTTTTATTACAAAATAAAAAGTTAGTTAATATTGGAAATTTACTTTTAGTGTTGTTTCCTTATCTCTGATTCCACTGCAAGAAAAGTCGTTTGATGGGAAATGTCAAAAAGATAACGTCTTATTTTTATGCTTGTTTCCTTTCTCTATAGTTCGAAATGTGTTTATGTCTGCAGTTTGGTTCAGCCAATTAAGCACGTTCGGAGTACTTCTTTCGATCTCGTTTGGATTGCTGTGTGTAACAATTTTATCGAGTAGTTAGGTCCAGTTTGATGTTTGATCAAGCTATCCGATTGCTTCTTTTAGGATTAATATGTCGCGTATAAGACGACTAAAGATATATATCTGTATATCTTACTCTGTAAAGTAGCTTTCATTAATTCAGTTCAACCAATTAACGATTGTGTGTTTAATTAATCTTACAAGCTAATTCACTTTTTAAGCCTTATAATATCAATATTATGTTTTATATCAATTTTTTCAAAATTCTGTTTGGGTTTAAAGTATGGATTTTGAACCTTTCACGTTCGAGGGCCAAATTAATACATTTATATTAATCCGTGGGCTACATTAATAAATTCACAGTAATCCGCGGGCAACACGACTATAAAAAAATAGTAATTAGAAAATTTATATGAAAAAGGGAGGGTTGTTTTACAAGGATACAACTGTGATTCTAAGGGAAGAGATGGTGTTTTCATATTTGTATATATATATCGGTATCAAGAAAGTTCAATGGAAGTTGAATTAAAATACTTTGCAGACCTGTTAAAGGTAAGAATCCACCTTTTTCCGAAGGTTTCTGAGA